AAAAGGGCTGGTAAAATCACTCTGGACCCCTCACACCCAGCACACTTTGTAGTGCAACAGTTGAGGGCAACAGTTCAAAGACAGAGCACTGAGCACCTGAAGAGCCAGACACAAGAATAGCTTTTTCCCCCTTGGCCATATTCCACCTGAACACTACATAACACATCCCAGGACTGTACATCTGTAAATAACTTATCGTCAGTAACTTATCACATATGCCTGTTCACAATTCTGTCTACTGATATTTTATTTTTCTTTATATTTTACTGTATTGCTATTATTATTATTTTTAAAATTTATTGTCTGTTCTCTTTATTATTAGCGTTTTATTACCTTACATTATATGTATGTCTGCACTATGTCTGTACTTTCTGTACTGGAAGCTCCTGACACCAAGACGAATTCCTTGTGTGTGTGAACACACTTGGCAATAAAGCTCTTTCTGATTCTGATGTCTGGATAAATGTGACAGGCATCACAGAAAACAGCACTCAAGTCATTCTACTTGACCTAATCACACCTCAACAGCTCATGTTTCCTTTGCTGACTCTGCTTCCATTGTCTAATCTTTGCATCAGTTAAACGTTCCTTCAAGCTGGATATCTATCCATCAGAACTTCATAACTGAAATATAGCTGCAAGCAGCGATTCCGGGGTCAAGCCCGAGAAGGGCTGTAGCGCAGCGCAGAGCGAGAAGAAGAAAAATGGCAGAAATGGAACGTACATAAAAATAACAGATTGTTTCAGAAGTACAGAAGTTCAAAAATGAACAGAAGTTCAGACAAGAACGACCAAAAACACGTTTCTGATTCAAGACTAACAGATGGAAAATCCAACGTCTTGAACAGAAGCAAAGTTCACACCACTTCTGGCATTAACTCTCACAGTCCAGGCATGTGCCACCCTGGATTCGAACTCACGACCTTAAAGGAGCAGAGCCAGTGGCTTAGCAGAGTGCACCACTCAGTTGATGCACATTCAACTGGCCGCAGAAGAGAGGTTAAGGTGTGAGAATGAGCTCATAAAAAAAAAGTTCTTAAGCATTTTAAGCAGCGTAACATGCAATGTTAAGTAAATTGTAATGCAGCTCATCGTTTACTTGATAGCTGAAGAGTCACATTAAACAGTATTGTAATTGGTTAGCCTGTAACTTGTAAGCATGCTAAGATTACTAGCATAAGTCAACAAACGCAAGCATGGTCTAATTTAGAGAGGAATTTCTCGGGAACGGTAGTGAATATCAAAAATCTGTTCAGTCATTTTTGTGCGGATCGGTCCAAAGATCTTATGATTACATTTTGGACAAAATTGGTCAAAATTTGAATGAGTAGCGAAAAAACAGTTTTTCATTCACTTCAACATGGCTGACAGGCACATTCATGGAAAATGACAAATGAGACATTGTCAGAATCGGCATAACCCAGGGAACCAAATGACATAAAAATAACAAAATTTGGACAACATTTTGCAAGAATCGTTATATCTCTGAAACAGTAGGTGGCGCTATCTTCAGACTTCTGAAGTACATCCAGGACATGGTGTTGATGAAACCTGCCGATTTTTGTACAGATATGTCCAATGGTTCAAAAGATATAGCAATTTATGAGAAATTTCAAAATGGCGGACACGTGGTTGAGCCAATCCTGGCAAAATTGACATCCACATTGGCATGATTCGGCATGACCCAAGGAATCCATAGACACCAAGATCATAATTTTCTGACTAATTGTTCATAGCGGACACGTGGTTCAGCCAATCCTGGCAAACTTAAAAGTTATAAGCAAAAATAGCTATTTTTGGTATCTCATGACCCATAGGTGGCGCTGTTCCCAACTTTGGCATGGGTCCTCAGATCATGGTGATGATGAAGCGTACCAAGTTTGGTTTCGATTGATCAAAGTTTGGCCGAGATACAGCCTCTGAACCAATTTCGGGTCGACCTCGTTATGTTCACAACATCATAACTTTTGAACAGAGATGAATAAAAAAAATTGGTTCAGTCAAGTCTGTGCAGCTCAGTCCAAAGATCATCTGAGCCAATTTTGGGAAGAATTGGATCAATTTTGAAGGAGTAGTAGGGAATAGACTATTTACTGTACTTTTCAAAATGGCTGCTACTGTAATGGGTGGAGTCTTAATGTAAGGTATTGAATGTGATCAGCATGATGAGTGGAATGAGGTGTACTAAGTTAAATTTTTCTAGAGTTAGGGTTTCAGGAGTTATTACCATTTTAATGTTGAATTTTTTAACTGGTGGTGGCGCTATAGAGTTGGTCCTAGAGACCCCAAAGTTGGTCAGATCACTACTCATGGCCATCACTACAAGTGTGCCAAATTTCATCATTTTCCTATGTTCCCTACCATAGACTCCCACTGGCGAAGAAGAAGAAGAAGAAGAAGAAGAAGAAGAAGAAGAAGAAGAAGAAGAAGAAGAAGAAGAAGAATCGTGGTTCAGCCAATCCTGGCAAAATTGACATCCACAGATTCGGCATGACCCAAGAAATCCATAGACACCAGGATTATAATTTTCTGACTAATTGTTCAAAAGTTATAAGCTAAAATATGCATTTTTGGTATCTCAGGACCCATAGGTGGCGCTGTTCCCAACTTTGGCGTGGTCCCTCAGATCATGGTCAAGAATTGGATGAATTTTGAAGGAGTAGTAGGGAATAGACTATTTACTGTACTTTTCAAAATGGCTGCTACTGTAATGGGTGGAGTCTTAATGTAAGGTATTGAATGTGATCAGCATGATGAGTGGAATGAGGTGTACTAAGTTTAATTTTTCTAGAGTTAGGGTTTCAGGAGTTATTACCATTTTAATGTTGAATTTTTTAACTGGTGGTGGCGCTATAGAGTTGGTCCTAGAGACCCCAAAGTTGGTCAGATCACTACTCATGGCCATCACTACAAGTGTGCCAAATTTCATCATTTTCCTATGTTCCCTACCATAGACTCCCACTGGCGAAGAAGAAGAAGAAGAAGAAGAAGAAGAAGAAGAAGAAATTTCATCATTTTCCTATGTTCCCTACCATAGACTCCCACTGGCGAAGAAGAAGAAGAAGAAGAAGAAGAAGAAGAAGAAGAAGAAGAAGAAGAAGAAGAAGAAGAAGAAGAAGAAGAAGAAGAAGAAGAAGAAGAAGAAGAAGAAGAAGAAGAAGAAGAAGAAGAAGAAGAAGAAGAAGAAGAAGAAGAAGAAGAAGAAGAAGAAGAAGAAGAAGAAGAAGAAGAAGAAGAAGAAGAAGAAGAAGAAGAAGAAGAAGAAGAAGAAGAAGAAGAAGAAGAAGAAGAAGACATACGGATACAATAGGGGCTACAGCCCTTCGGGCTTGGCCCCTAATTACATGTAAAAACTCGCCAACAGTTAAAACTTGTAGTTCCATAATGATGATTTCTGGACTTGACAAAGAAAAGTATGTGATGATTCATAGTCTGCATTGTTCTGCTCTGTAGATATAACAAGTACTCACTTGTACTTGAAAAGTGTCTGTAATTCCAGCAGCATTTAGGTATTTAGAATATTTTAGCCTGAAATGCCACACTGGTGTGGTATCAGAAGACTATGTTAATCATCTACAGACTCATGATTGTGAAGCAGTGACTTATTAATGTGTCATTAAACATTTGAATTCATAATTTTGCTCCATTTTGTATCAGATTTATCTTTCTATATGAAGATACCATAATTAATAGAAATGTATGTTGATTTCAACCAAAGAATAACATATAACACAGATATTGTACTTAAGTTTCATAAGTACTTTTGTAGCCAACCATTCATAACCCAACTTTCTATCAAAATTGATTCAGAGATACTGGCTGAAACATGACCTCTGTATAACTCTTTCTAACCTTCACATGATTTTTACTGCTCAGGTTCAATAAGCTTCAAGTATCAAATTTTTAAACAGTTACAACATTGTACAGTAGAGCCAAATCCTTATTCTAGTTTGACAGCCTATCAAAAAGGCAGTCTCTCTGCAGTAATGTGAACATGGAGATATAAAAATATGTAATACTTTTAAGCAGTACTACTGCTGATAGAATAATAGTATATTATCAACATCACTTTTACGTGATTTTATTGCTATTTATTTGCATATAGAGACAAAATACAGAAAACATGGCACATATCTGTACATACATTGTGCATGTTTGTGTCTCCATCTAGTGTCAAGAAGGGTGAAGAGGAAGCACTACTGACAAGATTACGCAGCAATAGACCAGAGGATTTCATTTTAGAGAAACATTTCATATAAAGTTCCTGTGACTTATGTCCATACTACAGTGTGTAAGGTTGTCATTTGTTTCAAGTCTATTAGGCAACGTCTGCTGCCTTGAGTACTGAACACTTACTACATAGAAGGATGAAAGACACATGAGATCTGTTCCACCATCTGCCATAATCACATATCAACACAAAGGAAATGCTTAGGAAACAAACATTAAAACAATATTTAGCTTCTTTTGGATTTTGTGTAAATTTGGATTTAGCTTTTTTTGTTGCTTATTTTGCTTATTTGAATGAATGAATCTATGAAAGTTACAGTTCGTGAAAAAAAAAAAAAATTACCGAGAGTTATACAACACCCTGTGTGAAAAAGTATGAACTGGCAAAAAATAAATAAAATATCAACAATAATTTTAACAAATCCTACTTCTTTATTAATAATTAGAATTTACTTAAAATAAATGGCATAAAATCATAACCATAAAGTGCAAAAGGTGCATTTTAGTGTGTTTACAGTAAGAAAGGACCAAGGGGTGTCCCGTCCTGCTCTTGAAACCCCTGCTGTAGATCTTTTCAGTAAACACTTAAATTACATATATTCCATTTGTTAACATTAGTTAACTATATATATTATCATGAACAATGAACATGAACAAAAACTGTACCTGTTAATATTATTTAATATTATTCAATGAACAGTTGTTTTTGTTTTTATCAACTAACGTTAACAAAGATTTTAAAATATTGTAACAAATATACTGTAACAAATCATCATTGTTAATGCATTAAGTAACATGAACTCAATGGGACCTTATTGTCCAGTGTGGCCTTTGAATATTAAGGCTAGATATTAGGCTATATATGATAAAAACACACACGGTTAATGCAGATCCTGAGCATTGCATCGACTGTTTGAGAAAATGTCACATCCACATAAAGATTATGTATGTTAAATATAATGCAATGCATGACGTAACTTTCCACATAACATGAAAATAGCCCTATGAATTACACATCACCTTGAAGTTGTTTTTCCTCCTGAAATGCAGCCCACAGGTTTACCATCCACATAAACACAATAACTGCATTTCAGTTATCTGTTTCCTTCAGTCAGTAAACACTTCTCTCCAGAACTGCGTTACGGTAAAGTTTGTGTTCCTGCGAAGCATCAGTCCCAGCACTCGGGCTTCTCTTCTGGACTGCTCATAACTGGCTCTCCATATCTGCCGAAGAGACGAGCTGGGGCTCACAGCAAACTCAAACAGCTCTGGAGGCGGGCATGTGAGGTGGCTTTCTTCAGCTCGCCAGACTTTAGACGGCAGTTTCTGTCACAGACCGAATGAAAAAGAACCAGTAAACAATAGCCGTAACACTTTAGATTAGGGAAGACTATTCACTAGTTGCTTATTAGCATGCATATTGGCTGCTTTATTAGTACTTAGAAAGCACATATGTGACCCTGAAGCACAAAAGCAGTCTTAAGTCGCTGGGGTATATTTGTAGCAATAGCCAACAATACATTGTATGGGTCAAAATTATCCATTTTTCTTTTATGCCAAAAATCATTAGGATATTAAGTAAAGATCATGTTCCATGAATATATTTTGTAAGTTTCCTACTGTAAATATATCAAAACTTAATTTTTGATTAGTAATATGCATTGCTAAGAACTTCATTTGGACAACTTTAAAGGCGATTTGCTCAATATTTTGATTTTTATGCACCCTCAGATTCCAGATTTTCAAATAGCTGTATCTCAGCCAAATATTGTCCTATCCTAACAAACCATACATCAACGGAAAGATTATTATTCAGCTTCCAGATGATGTATAAATCTCAAGACTGGTTTTGTGGTCCAGGGTCACAAATTTATGCAGGGGTGTCAAACTCAGTTCCTGGAGGGCTGCAGTCCTGCAGAGTTTAGTTCCAACACACAAACCATGTAGTTTTCAGATAAGCCTGAAGGACTTGATTAGCTGGATCAGGTGTGTTTAATTAGGGTTGAATCTAAACTCTGCTGGGCTCCGGCCCTCCAGGAACTGAGTTTGTCACCCCTGCATTAATGCTTCATTCTGCATGACCATATTCTAGATCCCTTAATCCTACTCAATACCTACACAGAACTACTACAACTACTACTTTACTTACTACCAATAAGCAGTAATTAGGAGTTTATTGAGAGAAAACGCTCAGTTAACAGTGAATATGTGTCCTCTAATCTAAAGTGTTACCACAATAGCAAAACCTTTTGATTATTACATGGAATGGAAAATATAAAGAAATCCTGTCAAAATCACCATTTCAGTACCTTTTCCCGCCGGTGGATATTCTCCCAGACTCTGTTGCACACCATGCACTCGAAGGCATCAATGAAGCTATCTTGACCAAGATCCTGAACACCCCACGGACGCTCCTTCAGCTCTGTCACCAGATTCACGTTAGATATTTCCCGCTTCTGCTTCCACTCCAGATATTTCAGATATTCCCCGTCATTCTCGTCCAACCTCTTTAAATACTGAGCGAGCTTCTTCGGCGGCTCATTGGGATTGACCACGACTGCGCTCCTGTTATCTGGCAACCACATGCGTACGTTAGGAGCTCCGTAGTACACCGGCACAATGCCTAATTTGAGCGGCCTCCACAGTTTCTCAGTGATATAGTCATCACAGACGGCGTTCTCAAAGGCCAGGATGAACTTGTACTGGGCGAGGATCTGGTAGAAATCGTGATCGTCCATCGCAGTGGAGTCTCTCAGATGGGGCGGCAGGTCTTTATTATGAAGACACTGTCCGTATGAGTCCACCTGAATGTGTTTCATCAGCTCTTGAATGTAAACATCTCTGTCAGACGGTGGGTCGCAGTCCGACTGGACGTACGCCACCGGCGCCAGAGTCCTCCTCAGCTGGTTTTTGTAGGACAGAGGCAGCAGGTGTGTTTGTGAGCTGAGAGCGTTGAGGGCCTCCAGGTGCTGCGTGGTGAGGGGCAGGTGAGAGCGGCGGCTGAAGGTCGCCGTGTGGTTGAACAGGGTAATGAGCGGCTCGTGAAAAAGCTTGTAGTTATTCTTGGGCGACTCCTCGTGAAACAACGCCCACTGGTGCTGCTCGTGACGCGGAAGAGGAAGACTTTCAATGCTGAAATCCGTACCTGGAAAAAAAGACAAATCTTAAAGGAAGTGTCTGTGTTCATCAGTACAAGGATCAATATAGGATCTACAAGGATCTATATTATTATAGAAAATCCCTTTTTTGTTTGATTTGTAACGTTTCATTTTTTATATGGGTTAGTGTTGTAGCTGGACGTCAATCATTCATTGATTAGTCATTCTATATTATATTTTATTATTACATGTTATATTATGTTTCCATTGTTGTTTAATCTTATGGTTGTGTGGTTTCAAGGGATATTTGTCTCACAAGTAAGAGATGAGAGAATATCTCCATTTTAAGGTTTTTAAAGGGGTCATATGATAACACTCCAAAGAGAAAGGAAAACTTGAAATCGCATCATATGACTCCTTTAAGGTCATAGGGCGATGTTGTGACGCAGTAATTTTCCATTGCCTTCGCCTTTACTGTGACCCTGGACCACAAAACCAGTCTTGAATGTCAATTTTTCAAAATTGAGATTTATAAATAAGCTTTCCATTGATGTGTGGTTTGTTAGGATCGGACATAGCAATGCATATTACTAATCAAAACTGAAGTTTTGATATATTTACGGTAGGAAAAGTACAAAATCTCTTCATGGAACATGATCTTTATTTAATATCCTAATGATTTTTGGCATAAAAGAAAAATCGATAATTTTGACCCATACGATGTATTGTTGGCTATTGCTACAAATATACCCCAGCGACTTAAGACTGCTTTTGTGCTCCAGGGTCACATATAATAACACTTTTTGGATTTATGCTGGTCAGATGTAATCTGTGCATAGAAACATGTGCAACTAAGATCACTGAATAAACAATAAACATTCAATAACTGCTCATTTTTCATTACTTCATCTCCTGCTTTCTGCTCTTTCCTGGCTTAGTCTGTCTGCCTCTTGAGCTGATAGAAGACTGTTAATACAGTTTTGAGTATTACACAAAATGCAGTAAAACACTGATTTTGGGTACCATACAAAATGGACATTTTCTGACAGGATCCAGCATCCGGGGGAGGATCTAATATTGCTGATGTGGAGACTCGATCTCTAACATTACCTTTGCTGTCATCTAACACTCTTTATTAAAGAACACTAACAATTTAATAACACTGTTAAAAGTAATCCAAATGAATATACATTTTTCACACTGTACACTGATGGGTAGTAACTGATTGCATTCAACATTTGGTTACACTTTATTTTAAGGTGTCCTTGTTACAGTGTGATTATACATAAAACTACTTCAGTCTGTGTGCATTGAATTTATTTAATACACGAGTTTCACAATTTGAGTTGAATTACTGAAATAAATGAACTTTTCCACGACATTCTAATTTATTGAGATGCACCTGTATATGGTTAGGATTAGGGCTTGGATTGGGGTTACTTGCATGTTATTATGCATAATTAATTGTTATTATAATAGTAAGTACATGTAACGTGTAACAAGGACACCTTAAAATAAAGTGTTACCCAAAATGTAAGTACTTGTAATTGGATTATAGTACATTTTAAAATACCCTAAATCAGGCTACAGTTACGTTTTTACTGATTACATTATTACATATTATTCACACAATAGCAATAAGTTATTCAAAGTGTACTGATTCTCCCAAATTTTTCTTTTTCATATTTTAAATTTTCCTTTCTAAAATAGCCTGCTGCTTATATACGTTCAGAAAGTCTTCCAGTGTTGTGGACATTCAACATTCAAGTTTCTCAACATTTCAACCCTGCATCAACTACTGATGAACACATTAATGTTTATCTGAATTATCACTCAGTGGGTTATTTCACCTAATATTGACCTGAATTCAAGATTCGTTATTGTCACTATACAAGTATAGTGAAATTTGAGCAATCCTAACAGTGCAGTCACGTGTAACTTAAACATCTGTAATACAGAAAAAAAGTATGTTATTACTATACAATACAAGACAACAATACACAATACAAAGAACTGAAGTACCCCTGAGACTTTACGGTAATACGTTCAGTAACATTTGCATGTTCACAGTGTGCTGATGTTGGTTACTAGTCTCACATGAAATGCAAGTAAACTAATTATTTAATATTTTTTAATAAGTGTTTTATTATTTTTTATTATTAATTATTTATTTAAAATAATTAATTTTAATTTTACATTTTAATGACTTAATTGATTGGTAGCTTTTCAATTAACTCACAAACCCACTGCAGTCCCTTCACGAACCCCAGTTTGGGAAACCTTGATGTAATGTATAATGCTTAATGCACCATGTTGTTAATAACAATAAATGAAATATATTTTCAAATCAATATGGTACAATATTATCTTATTTAAATCAATGTAATGAACGTGTTAGGTCAAAGGTAATCTAAAAGCAATCCAAAAATAGTCTATTATATTACCTAAAATGTGTAATGTAGTGGATTATGTAACTAACTACAATTTTTGTCATGTAATTTGGAATCAGTCACAGACTACAACTGTAACTACAGTGAGTATAGAAAAGAATCACCTCTCTTTAAAAGAATCACATTTTGTTGCTTCGCAGCCTGAAATGAAGACGGACAGTTTTTGTTTTATCCAGCTGTATTTACTCTTATTTATAACATCCAAGTGAAAGATAAAACACCAACATGTCAGAAAAACAGAATTCTTTTAAAGAGAGGTGATTCTTTTCTATACTCACTGTAATCTGCCCAGCACTGTCTGTACATTCTAATTACTGTAATTCATTTGTAGCATGTAAAACAACTGATATTAGCTTGTATTGTTTTATGTAGACAAACTGTATAAAAAATTTATATTGAATTTTAATAATATAAAAGTGAGTATAAAATGAATGAGCATGGATCAACTGAACAATGAATTCAATGAATGTCTGTATGGACTCACCATAAAAAAGAAAAGCTTTTGTCTGTGGATGGGAATGATAAGACTTGTTAACAGTGAAGAAACATCTGTTATGGCCACACTCTCCGAGACGTCCCAGTTCTCCAGTCAGAGGAGACCACCACACAATGACAGGGTACTGGACCTGTACGTGTGTTCCCTGCTGTCTGAGTGTGTTCTGTTCAAACTGTCCTAGCTGTTCGATAACCTGCGACGAGAGACACGCCTGTGAAGACACTGATACTGCAGACATGAAGGGTGGGTTTACTGAGGAAGGTTTGCACATGACTAGCACAAAATACTGTTTGCAGAAACACAAGTCAGTTGTCTTTCCAAAAAGTTTCATAAATGAAAGCATTTACTTGTTAGAGAAGTGGAGAAAATTCCTATGTGAGAAATGCAATGCATCTTTCAAAAATCAGTAACCAATTGCTATTTCATATGTCAGGTTGCAGGGATGGAAAAGGGAGACTTTAGTGAAAGGAGATACCAAGGATGAGGAAAGGACAGAGATTTATCCAAATGTTAGTGAGGGACTGATCAGATCCCAAAGGCCAGCGGACACACAGCGTGAAATCTGCAAACAAGAACAACTTCAAAACCAGCATATCCCACATTTATGGTTCATTTGCGCTATATTTATCCGTCCATGCGGTGTTTAGGGAACGTTTTAAAATCGTTCAAGTGAGCACTCTATGGCAGTGTCTCACACCAGACTGAGCTGCATACATAGACAGCACTGTTGGCGCTTCGAGTAGGTAGCATTTTGAGGCGTTTATGCCTAATGTTACTGTATCAGAGCGCTGAGAGGCACACGTCCTATCATAAAACTACGTGAAACATTTAATGTTTAGGTAAGCAAATCGTTGCTGATTATCTGAAGTTTCATTTAAGGATAGAGTGCATATTTTACCTGAAATGTCATGATTAAAAACACAAACGCACACGCGCAGAAACAAAAAGCGCAAAGTTTTTTAACAGAGACTGGCCACATGTCAAACCCTCTGTACCATTACAAACAATAACATTTCCAAATTATCTATTTGCGAATATTTGCGATCTGTAATGCATGATTTATTCCTGTAAATATATTGATCCCATAGCGGCTGTCCGAGGAGCGTTTTTTGGTAGTTTTAGCGTCACTTCCGTTACGCGTCCCTTTAAACCACAGACACTTCCTCTACGAAGGGAAGTTGCCACTGATCTCTCTCTCTCTCTCTCTCTCTCTCTCTCTATGTGTTTCTGTCCTCTTTCTCTCTGGTAGGTGACTGGGTTCATGACAAACACTTCCTAAAAAATTACTTCAGTAACACAGTGTGGTGTCTGCTTTCACTTTCTCTGTTCAAGCAGACAGAGTCATTTGTATTGTTGGGTGAACTCTGCTAAATTGGACTCCTTTTGACATCCCTCTACATTACACAGAGTTCCTGGGATCACGCAAATATTAGGAACTTTCACATTTTCTCTCTCTCTTACAGATCAGTGGAAGTTACGGTATTTGCAAGCGGATTGTTACCATAGAAACACTCACTCATTAAAGAAATGTTTTGTCTGGTGAATAAGAGAGTGGCAAATGTTTAACAATTGTAAGTGAGATGTATAATGAATGCATTTTTTTTCATAAAATGATGTATTTATTAGTAGTTCCAGATGTCCTCTTGAAGATACACTGAAGCAGGCGTATAGAGTAACCTTAATAACTATATGGACATGATTAGCACACATTACTCTAAATATGAAGCTCTATTACAAACTTCTACTACAAATTTCACTACTGCAACTTGTATAAATGACTTTTGATATCAGTCTTATTAATATTTTTATATATTTTTTAACGTGCCATTAATGTAAAATGCTAAATCAACTGTTCTGTTTCAAACTGTTTTTGACAAATTGAAAAGACAAAGGCAGAATTAATTTTCATCTGAAAGGTAAAATTATTCCATACAGGCATAAGAATAAATAGATATTTTTTTGCCCATATTTTAATTGAGGGTGTGTCAAAATAGCAACACTGTGAATTAAAATGTAATGATTTTACTCATATAGGTTTAAATGAAACCATCTGTATTTGTTGTTTATTTAGTCCCTCCTTTGTAAGGACATAGAAAACCAATCATGGATTTCAAAACAGTTGAACGATTTTCAAAACTGAGCATAATGAGTCTTTGGTTGATAATTTAGGGGATTTATCCCCGTATTTAAATGCAGTTGTTACTCTTGAAACTTTGTGTACATGGCCTAAGCATTGAATTAAAAAATAAAAACAGTAACAGCATGCCTCTCAGGACCTTCAGTGCGTATTCTGGGGAGGCCTAAAAGTGTCTAACTTGACCTTTTCACTTCAAAATAAAATCAATGTTTACTCCACAAATCTGAAAACACAATGCCTGCCGGTGACCCTTGCCTGCGTCACATTGCCACTAACTGTATGTGTCACAGTTGTATTTAAGAACATGCTATAACAGTAATTTCAAATCTGAAAATACTAAATCGTTACATTGAGTTGGACTTTATGTTGTCTGTAAGCTTGAGGTGTATTATGTCTGTTACAACAATATAAAGTTCTTATGAATATGAATTGAATGTCAAAAAAAGAGAAACTGTCAGTCTGATGCACACTGCTCATGTGATTTGTGATGTATAGAGTACGTCTGCTTTAACAGATGAAGACTGAGTCATACCTGTTTGCCATGGTAACAACAAAAATACTTTTATGATTCAGAGGAGAAATCCTTCTCTCACAGCGTCCTCTCATGAAGCACCTGACAAACACAATGCTTTACACCAAACCACACGGCTGACAAACACTAAATGAATTTTCATAAAGAGGTTTACAAATAGAAATGTTTAGATTTTTTAATGTTACAACTGACTGTTGTTTAATATCAGTGTCTTCATAAATGTGGTGATTTTTATTTTAAATTTTTAAACTGTAGCCAGATATAATATAAAGCATGTTTTGTTCAGCTAGCCTTTTTTTATTTCGTGATCTTTGGTTTGCCGGCTGATACTGTATGTGTAAAGGCAGAGTAAAACACTACAGCACTGATTGCTCACTATTACGTGATTTACAGATTTCTGTTTCCTATAATCAAAGTGAAGAGCACTTCACAAACAATAAATAGCTACTCACCAAACAAAGACTAATAACAGCATCACTGCATCTCATTGGCTCTCACTCAGCCCACTACTGATTCATGGACATATGTGACCCTGGAGCACAAAAGCAGTCTTAAGTCGCTGGGGTATATTTGTAGCAATAGCCAAAAATACATTGTATGGGTCAAAATTATAGATTTTTCTTTTATGACAAAAATCATTAGGATATTAAGTAAAGATCATGTTCCATGACGATATTTAGTACATTTCCTACTGTAAATATATTAAAACTTAATTTTTGATTAGTAATATGCATTGCTAAGAACTTCATTTGAACAACTTTAAAGGCGATTTTCTCAATATTTTGATTTTTTTTGCACCCTCAGATTCCAGATTTTCAAATAGTTGTATCTCGGCCAAATATTGTTCGATCCTAACAAACCATACATCAATGGAGAGCTTATTTATTCAGCTTTCAGATTTGTAAAATTTACCCTTAAGACTGGTTTTGATCTCCAGGGTCAAATATGTTGTTTATGTACTGTTTGACTTTAAACAATCCACACATGAGACATTCATTCAGTTCCCACTGTAATCCTTAACTCGCAATGGTAAAACTAGATTTATTCATATAACACTTAAGAGTTCTCATCATCATTACTATCACAGCCTTCCTCTTTCTTTTGAAATGGCAGATTCATAAAACTAATATGTTTGCTCAGAATGACTTGTTCTTCATGTGCACAAAGTTTTGAGAAGTTTTCTGGAGGTCCTGCATCTTGTTTAGATACATGGATTTTATCAAACACCAGCAGATAAAAAAATCTAAACCTGACTGACTCTGCTAGAAATCTCAAAGCAGGCCATGGTTGGATCTTCCATCAGGACAATGGTCCAAAAACAAACACCAAAATAGGTCACTGAGCACAGAATGAAGGTTCTGCTTTGGCCGTCCCAGTCCTTTGCTCTGAACCCTGTAGAAAATGAGACGGTGAACGGAAGAAGAGAAGCGCCAGCATGGAGCTGGGAATCAGAATAATTCTGGAGATTCTGTATGGAAGAAGGAATTCATACTTTTACTTCAACGGAAGCTTCGATTTTCTGTGAACTGAATGTGAATATTTTTTAATGTAAATGCCGTTTAAAAAAAAAAAATGTCATCAGAGAATTCTGAAAAAGGTGTATCACGGTTCCCACAAAAATATTCAGCAGCACAACTGTTTTCAATCAGCACATTAGAATGATTACCAACCCCAAACTTTTGAACGGTACTGTATATAAACCAGCACAGTTCTCATGCCTGTTGTCATCTGTGTACATTCATGTTATTTAAATGCATTTAGCACATTAAATGGACGTATATATCATAATAACAAATGTATCAGCAGATCGGATAGCATTGTATCACTGCTCAAAAGCTAGATTATACTCAGCATCTTCTGAAAGAGAAAAAGTGTAAACCAAACTAAGAGAAGAAGATCAGTGTAAAATGCCATTCTCTGGAAAGTACATCTGCAAGTTTACGGCTGCTGCTAATTATAACTAAAGCAAATGCATGGTTTGGATTTGGTTGCTAGTGGCAACGTGTGTAGGTGGCCACAAATTCATACACTGAAGAAAGACACAAGAGTCTAATTACTGGAAGCTCATTTGGCCACTTAAACGAGGACCAGCGCTCTGCTTGACTGGGATCATGTGTCTGCTGCTGACACACATTAATCACACATTAAACCTGCCTTGATTGAATGGACAGATACTACTTAGCATCTTACATGGCACACATGATTAGAACATTGCTAAGAGGGTTTATTTATGATATCACTTTTGCATGAATTACAATCCTCAATAAGATACTAAATATGACGATAAGAACATATCAAGAATCACAGAAGATTTTGTGTACTATGTACATTTAATTTCATTCATACAACTGTGTGGACAAAAACCTGTAAACAGCTCTTTACTTTGAGGTAAACAGAACTGCATGCACACTTTCCGACACACAAATGTCAAAGTGCTCGAGGAATGAAGTAAACCCACACAGATGTCCTTCCTGAGATCATCACATGCTTCCTGTCCATTAGCTCCTCATCCCTCCTCGACTCCGTCTCCAGCATCTGAAGAGCATCTCAGCAATCCGGTTTCCAAGCAACCCGTTTCATAAAACACTCACTCACCCATTCAAGGAAAGCGTGAAGCTGTTCTGACCACATCAGGTGACGCAAAAGCAAAGATTAATGCTTCATTTCATTTGAATCTTTTGATTCTTGTTGTTGAAAGTGGATGAGATTCCTCCTCAAGACCTTCCTCCATCTGCTCTTCTTCTTTTGTACCTTTTATTCAGCCCCTCTGCTTTTGTTTAATGGTATGCCTTCTTTGCATCAATTTGTTCAGATTAAATATGCTTCCTAATCCTAATAATATATAATAATAACTGTTATGTACACTTAGATTATTAAACATATTTTCACATAAGAATACAATATGTTGGGACCCCTAATGATACTTGGAATGGGTTTACAATGAATACAATACTAACAGCAAGATTTTCAGATGCTCACATCTGCCACGCTTAATGATAAAACTCAATGGTGACTCAAAAAGTCTTTTCTCAGTCCTATTCATAGTTCTCGTTTAATATGACTTCTTTCCAGTGCCACATTTATTGAAAGCAAACACTGATATCTAACTACAGATTTGTTCTCTAATCATTACATACGTTTTCAGCTGTTGACAAATACACACTGTAAAAAAGGAATTGAGAAAACTTAATTCAATGCAACGTAATGCATTCATATTTTCTCTCAGCTACCATCTTAAAAATGTTCTACTTCGTTTTCTTCATTTGTATTTGTTAATTAATTCACTAAATGCAAAGTGCCTTATTCAACCTTTAAATTCATCAAAGTAACTACATATTTGTTGATAATAAATATGCAAACATAGCAAAAAATGCATTTATTCTGCTTAAAATTGGTTGTATTACGGCTGCCAGGATGATTTTGCTCGACTGTAAAAATGTCCCAGAACACCAGAATTGAAGGACTGGATTGATGGGATGATTGAAATTGCTTCATATGAGTGTCTGTTGGGGAGAAATGCAAAGAATGTGGGATTATTTCTGGCAACGTATAAAAATGGGATAAGTGAGCAGGACTGTGTGACAACTCTTTTAATTTCAATGTACTTTTGTCTTGATTGTATCTCACTGATGACGACAAGTGTCTGAATATGTAACTGTAAAGGCGATTATGGAATACTGTAATGATGTACAGAGTTTTTGGACTGTTGAACAATTAAAAAAACAACAACGGTCACATCAACAAACAAATAAACAAAAACAGCAAAAGTTTAAATAGTCACCAAACAGCAAACAATAATCCTGTAACAGTAATCACATCATTTATTCATGCTGAGGTGCATGCTGGGAACTCACAAACCCTTAACATATTGCTCAATATGAAATTATTCATTCAGACAACTGTGTTTGACTAGCTGGGACAACATTTGGTTTAAATGTAGTGTCAGTGTCAAGTACAGTAATTCACAAATCCGATTATTTGCAAGGTCCCATAAATGGGAAAATATGTCTTTTTTTTTAACAGTGTGCTACTGGGTGTTAAAAACCACATTTGTCAAAGTTCATAAAAGAGTTATCTTTCTGCCGCCTCCACTTTTCCCCTTTCTCTATCTGTCCTCCTATTCTTCTTCTTTCCACTCCGCCTCTTCTCAGTCCCGTGTTGGGAAAACTACTCAAAAATGTAAACAGCTTAGGCAGAAAAAAAATCCACTAAGCTAAGCTGAAAGATTGAGATGTTAAAAGGAGAGTTTAGATGCAAATTGGTCACACAAATGTAAAAAAATAAATAAAGAGTAACATCAACAGTAACATCAATCCATATAGGTGCATGAAATAGCAACATTACACATCCCGAGTAAAATGTTACAGTAAGGCAGTAAATATCTTTCATTAAACAGAACTAAAAGACTGTGGCTGGCCCTAAAGTGCCACTTACCACACTTCACTGTAATGCTGTAACATATGCCAACAAACAACATACCTGATTATTTACTTTATATTTGGACTGTTACACCTGCCCCTGGTGTGGCCTGGTTTCTCCCAATATGTGTGAAGTGCTATGGTGTGCTGTCCTATCCTTTCTGTTCCAGGATTGTGATTGGCTTTTGTTGTCAGGTCACAGTATGACCCACCCTTCTGCTTCGGTGTCTTAACTTAACTTCTCTACATCCTAAAACACTTCTAAAGTAACCCGGCAGGCATCGTTTCAAATATGATGCTGAACTGTCAGCCATGCATTTAGCTGAGTATGCATGCAATGTTGTGTAAAGCAGCTTATATCATTCTCTTAATGGATATGTAGAGGATTTTCGTTTTTTCTCAGCCACATGGCCACGCAAGTTAGATTCCTGTTTTTCATGAAAACCCTGAAGAATTGTCTATTGTTCAGAGTCAGCAACCTTAATACAGCAGTCTATGTGATTGTTTGCATTTATAACTCCACTTTGCCAAAACGCTAGTTGGCAGTGTCGACTTCAGGAGCAAAGTGTAAACAAGCTGTGGTGTGTAATCAGCCTCATCACTTTCATTAGCAGCAATCAGACTCGATTACATTCATTTCCAGTGGATGTGAAGGTGCCGCAGATACACATTTTTTCTGGTTACAAAGTGGTTACCAATCACAGCTGTTCATGTGGTGTAACCCACTGCTCTCTCCAAAAGGTGCTGTTGTCTTATTTGAGGACAAAAAGGCTTTTTTGTTGTCCACATAAACCCCATCACACTGATCCCATTTACATGCACTTTTGTAAGAAACTAGTCTTTCCCCCGACCCAGATTCCACTCCACAGTAGATGTTAGATCATGCTAATTTCCCAAAACGCCTCAATTATTATAGAGAAGATGAAAGTCAACAGTTATGTTGTTTCTAGATCATTTGGGATGATCACATCTCAGACAATTAGGTGTCAGAACTACATTAACATACTGTTACGACTTCATTTGCATTAAGGGTAGTAAACTATAACTGTATAAAAGGTTTGAGGTTAGGATGTTCGTTCCGACTCCTATAATAAATATATAACCTATAATGCTAATGCAAGGCAAGAACAGTGTGGCCTATATTTTAAATGTTTGGCTGTATGAATCAAACATTAACCATTTCAGCGATGGGGGTTCAGAACGCTCCACTTTGAGCTGCTTTCAAAAGATGTGTGGATTAAAAATGAGTGCAGATGCAATGAACGATTAAATACAGTATTTTATTCACTGAAGCCAACATTGTGTCCCTGATCTTTGAGGGCAGGCGTAAGACACGCTCATGCCAGGAGATCACAACCAACACATCCAGTCTTCTGAACACAGGGCAACAGGCATATTGAACAACATTACAGATTTAAAGGAGTAGTACAGGATCACAGCTAAAAAAAGGTATTCACGATATCTGAGTTTGGACAGCAAACGGTCCAACTGATGGCTAAGGCGCATTAAAACCAGCTGCTCTCCTTCAGTACTCACACAACTGCATTTTGAGAGGAGATCCTACATTACAGGGTTCGCCAAAGTAAACGCACAAAGATGACAAGGCTGGAGGAAAACTGTAATCATGATTTGCACCCAGGAGACCGACAAACAAAAGTCAAAAACAAAGTGAGTGTTCCAGTCAAAATATTGTTATGACAAAGAAAGACATTTCAAAGCTTGAAATTAGGCGTCTCACTTTTGGATGATTTTTCATTTGAGTTGTTATTGTTTTTATTTTGAAACCCTAAAGTGCACTTGCATGCCCATATCTTTATGTTACACTTCGTCTGACTTTTTTATTTTATTTTATTGTTTTCTGCATCCTATGAAAAATAATAACAAATGCAATTACTATTTTAAAGTACTATGTCTGTGTAGGACGTGCACTGTTAAAGGGTTAGTGCCAGCGTTACATGTTCGGTCTGGAAAAGCGGCGAACATCAAACAACATGAAACATAGTAGCACATAAAAGGAAGAGTCGATCTCTTCATATCACCATTCATACTAATGAGTTTGTAGTATGCATTATTAAGTGTGTATATACTGCTTAAAAGTAATGCAACTTTTGTTCTAAAATTTGCAACAAATAAATAAAAATAAACATCATCTAAGTGCTTCTGTGTTCAGTACCGGACAAGAAAAACAATACGTCCTGCAATTTCAGAGAGAGAAAAAATACAAACAACAAGACGCAGCAACAATATAAAGTCTGCTGAAAGAGCTTGTAATCACAAAAGCACAATGTAGATATGATCCTCTCTATTTGTCAAATTCTAACATAAAATAAAGTGTCCTTAAAAATACTTCAAGTAAACAAAATGTCGTTATAGACGGGAACTCGAGAAGGGACTGAAACTAATATCTGTAAATGTGAAAAGCTTTTCATATAGATTCCTTTGAAACCTTCAAAAGTTCAAATAAGTAACTAGATCCGGCTTTGTTGGTGTGCAAAAACAGTGTAGAACGTTCATATAGTGTTCACGACGTTTGTTTCTGTAATGAAAATGAATCTTAAATTCAAGGTTAGCAAGCATCACGAAAAAAGTAACTGAAACGCTCTCAATTCCTCTAGAAACCTCTGCATTCGAACAACCTAAACATGACGGCAAAAACACAGGAGCACAGACAAACTAACACGACTTTACACGAGTGAAAATGTATCTTCAATAAAACCAACCACAGATTTGGTTACGCTTGAAAAACCTGTATAATGAAGTAACATATCACTACCCTTTATAAAGCTCTCTAAAAGAGTCAGAAGAACTAATAAAGTGCACGATAAATACTACTGGCATCTTTACAACAATAATGTTCTGAACTGAGAATTAAAAATTCAAATATAGAAGATTATAAAATGCACAAAAGGAGCATTGGCATTTACACTACTGAAAAAGCAGAAGTATACTCTTTACTTCAACAAACAGATAAAAAAATAAATGGCACAAACTGCGCAGCCGATGACGTTAGCATGAACATCATCTAATCTTGCAGTCTGAAATGCTATAACTCAGCAAGTACCTCGAAATCATCATTAGAAAATAATCTCTTTAGAGTCTGGGTCCATTGCTGTGACATGCTGGTACGATCCATTAATGTGCGCGTGAAGGTGGTTAGTACATCGGTCGTGGATTACATCCGCAACAAAAACGAAAGGCTATCGTGATAAATCCTGCATCATACCCATGCATCTCTCTGCTGTTTATTAGTCTAGTAAAATAACTCGCTCTGAGCTACTGCCGAGCATATGTTTCCACTTCTCTTGAAGGAAAAGCAAATTTAGGGGAACAGCACAATCAAGAGACATTCATGTTCTCAGAGCGAAATCAGCGGCACTTTATTTTACAGTCCTGTTGCGCATGTACACACTTTAGCAATTACAATAACTGGGTAATAACTACAGTAGGTGTTAACCCTAAACCGCTGTAGTTACCTGATGTTACTCAGTCATTTCTGCAAGCGCATGTACTGTAAAATAAAGTGCAACCGCAAAACCGTTACACGCTAACAAATACAAAAGAAAACCACACTATTTGCTCCACAAGGGAGACCTAGGGATTTACAGCTTCCAATCAATTGATCAATTTACATTTTACACAAATGTTTTCTGATACAACTGTCGGCAGATAAATAAATGACATCCAAATATTATACAGTGGCTCTCTGAGAGGAAGCAGGAGACTGTCTATGTGATCTTGGGTGTTTCGGGCCGGTAGTCCTTCCGCTCGGACGTGTTGCGCTTGACTTTAGCAGCGGCCGGCTGGGACTCCTGGTTGAGAGATGGGCTGGACTGAGACTTCTTCAGCGCTGCGTCACCGTCCCGGGACGTCAAGAGCTCTCTCACACCCTCTTTCAGGAGCTTGACGTACATCTCGTAACGGCTCTCCTTCAGAGAGAATTCAGAAAATCCATTAGATTCCATTATAATGTCATGAGACGAGCGCTAACAATAGCTCTGCTCACAGCCCTCGCTGTCACTGCACCTTCAAAGCAGACCTTCAGTCAAATAGCACCTTGTGAGTGGCTCATTTAAGGCAAAACATGACAGGCAAAAACACTGCTTTTCATGCACTGGCCAACTGTGAGATTTCAGGCAATTTTGCTTCCATAACATCTCTTCTCCTTCAGACTAATGGAAAGACAACATCCAAAATACACGTTTGTGACCCTGGACCACAAAACCAGTCATGGGGTAAATTTTTCGAAATTGAGATTTATACATAATCTGAAAGCTGAATAAATAAGCTCTCCATTGATGTATGGTTTGTTAGGATAGGACAATATTTGGCCGAGATACAACTATTTGAAAATCTGGAATCTGAGGGTGCAAAAAAATCAAAATATTGAGAAAATCATCTTTAAAGTTGTCCAAATGAAGTTCTTAGCAATGCATATTACTAATCAAAAATTAAGTTTTGATATATTTATGGTAGGAAATGTACAAAATATCTTCATGGAACATGATCTTTACTTAATATTCTAATGATTTTTGGCATAAAAGAAAAATGGATAATTTTGACCCATACAATGTATTGTTGGCTATTGCTACAAATATACCCCAGCGACTTAAGACTGCTTTTGTGCTCCAGGGTCACATTTAACTGTTTATTTTGTTACACTTTAACTATTTGCATCTGTAGATTTGAATTACAATACTTTAAAGGCTGTTTTCTCAAAATTATTTTTTTCTCAGAAACTTCAGCAGCACTTACACCAAACCTTACAGTTTCATTCCTATCAATATTCTCAAGGTTTTTACCGAGGGGTCTGTTCACATATAATCCGTTTTATATAACATTTTATTCCTGAAATCCCTTCTGTAAAAACCGTTAACTCTTAATATGTCAACAAAATAAACCATTTTGAATTTTGGATGTATCCAATGTTCAGATTTCTGTTCTGGATATGTATGCACATTTGTGCAAATCTAATTCAATAATGCTTCATTTATATATTTAAACATATCATTTCATAAAACTTGCAATACAAAACAATCCTCTTAAAGGGATAGTTCACCCAAAAATGAAACGGCTCGTGACGACACATTGATGTCCTAAGTCACGAAACGATCGGTTTGTGCCAGAAACCGAACAATATTTATATAATTTTTCTGTCTTTGAGCGCGCGCACGGCATCCGGTGCGTGAGGTGTGTACGCGCTCTGGAGTAGTTTACGCAAGCGCCGGAAGTGATCTCTCGCGCGTATACGTCACTCATTGTTTACACAGTGCACAGTCATTGTAGGTACGACGGCTAATCAAAATGGTACTTACTTGCGCTTATCCGGATTGTTCAAACCGACTTAAAACTAAAAGATTACGTTCTCTGGCGTGAACTCATTCGGGAGTGGTGACTTTCCACGGATTCCCAACTTCTGAGCCTGCTCGCCTGAAGTTATGGTTGATTGCTCTTCAGCTGGATATCAACACACACATTAACGTAAACTACGCCAGAGCGCGTACACACCTCACGCACCGGATGCCGTGCGCGCCCAAAGACAGTTGGACATAGTGGTGTATTAGAGGTAAAATATGATATAAATACTGTTCGGTTTCTGGCACAAACCGATCGTTTCGTGTCTTAGGACATCAATGTGTCGTCACGCATGTTTTTTTTACTCTCATAGATTTTGTTACCATTGCCATGCATTATACAACTGATAGACTGCAACGGTTGGACTTAAAAATCATCAAATGTGTTCTACTGAAGAAACAAAGTCACCTACATCTTGGATGCCCTGGGGGTAAGCAGATAAACATCAAATTTCATTTTTGGGTGAACTATCCCTTTAACCCTTTTGAACCCTATTCACCTGTGGTGTCTTGCCTTAAAGTGCACCAACAGACTCAAGCAAAGCTCACAGCTCACAGTAGAGTTTGATCATAGCATGTTTTCAATTCCATGGGACTATTCTCTGTTGATCATTTTCAGTACTGAATAAAATCTATTTATAATCCATTATAATTTGTCTCAGTGTCCATCATTTGGAATTATTTTTTTACTAAGCTTGTTAAAGTGCTTTCTGAGATTGACTTATTTAGGAAGAACATTGCGATGTTGCCAAGAACTTGGTCAAAGCCTACTGTTTTGAGCAGCCTTTGTGTCCAAGCGAGCTAAACACTAATGTTTGGAACAGAGCTACAGAGCTAAACTCTGAATATAATAAAGATTAACTCACAAGAGTGCTTTATATAAGATTAAATAAATCTTCTATTGTCACATTATACTAATTACAGTATGGGATTGTTTTCTCAAGGTGGTCCTGACCGTTAAAATGAGAGATATAAAAGTTCATCCAAAACATTTTTTTCACATTTTCTAAAGATTTACTCAGCCCTTAGGCCATCTAAGATGTAGATGAGTTTGTTTCTTTATCAGGAGAAAGTAATATTTATGCATATGAGTCATATTTTAGCCGGAAACAACAATTTGAAAATTTGAACAAAAATCGTCTTGATGGATTTGTTTCTTACAAACACGCAACTTTTGGCTTCTGAAGTCATTAACTGATGGACTGGAGTGCTGTGGATTACGTGTGGATTATTGTGATGTTTTTATCAGCTGTTTGGACTCTCATTCTGACGGTACCCATTCACTGCAGAGCATCCACTGCTGAGCAAGTGAGTGCTAAATTTCTCTAAATGTGTTCCCATGACGAAACAAACTCATCTACATCTTGGATGGCCAGAGGATGAGTAAATTTTTAGCAAATTTTCGTTTTTGGGTGAACTGTTCCTTTAAATCCACATAGAGGAGGGTATTTTACCCTTAAATGTAAAACACACTGACTGGAATATTGATCATGTTGTCAGGCCAAAGGGCTTTAAAATGATTTTTTTTTCTCCACAGAAGTGTGTGGATATATGTTATAGTATGTAGATGTGTGATTGGTCTAATTTATTAAGAAGGGTTAATACACTGCAATATAAGTGAGTTTATCACATTACACATTATAATGGTGCTATCCATAGAACTAAACTAAGATCACTTTAATCAATTAGATAATTCCACTGGATTAACCATAACAGAGTAAATAACCCACATGTGTATGTTAAAGTATTAGTTTCTGGGTTTTGTATTTATCACACACATTGCTCTTCCACTGCGCTTGATGCCGAGGCATTTCACATCTGATCAAGTGCCTCCCTCAACACAGCTGCACTTAAACTACATTTGAAAAGTTTTGGGTCGTTTGATAATTCTAGGCGACTTCTCTTTGAATTCTACAATTTTAGAAGACCCTTTCCAGAAACAGGCCTCAAAACAGGACTCCAAAATGAAGTAATTTGGTTTTAAACAAATGATTTGTGAAAGATGCCGCTTAACTATTATTATACAAGCTGTTTTATTTTCAATTAATTTCATAGTAGATTTTGCAAGTCAGAATACTGTTGATTTGATTTATTTGATACCTTTAGCAATGTTTTTGTTTTTATTTTGAAGCAATGTGTTAAATAAACATAAAAATTAAACACATATGTAGCTTAAGTGAAGCTGTTACTCAGCAAGGGCTAGTTTGGGACCAAATGTTGTAGTTACAGAAAAACCAATTTCCCTTAAATTAAAGAAAAAAATATTGTTAAATCATTTTAATAAAAACAGCCTTGATAACAGGAATGAATGAGCTTAAAGTCAACACAACAACTGTAATTTGTTGTAAAACATAATTTGTTTAAAAACTGAGAAAATGGATTTTTAAAGATAATTCGTTTTTTTTTTTGAGATCATTTAAATTTTAAGCACAAACTAAAATGCATTGGTAATTTTTCTTTAGTGTGCATGTTCAGTTGGGTCCATCACAGGACCTCCTATTCTTAATGCAAGAATCATACCACTATACTACTTAGTTACACTATAAAAAAATATTGGGACACCATTTGTATTGCTTTGAGAGCACCAAAAGTTCCTATTTTATTTACTAGTTATGCATTAAGATTGCTTATGTTTGAATTCTTTAAAGATGAGAACAAGCATTTATAAAGTATCTTGTTTAGTGTTGAAACAAAAGCGCAGCCTCTCTGATGAGTGCTGTGTTATTCCCTTCCTCTGACCTTAACTATCAATCAAAGGCATTAAACAAAACGGCTTCAGCAAACACATTTCCATCAATTCTAGGCAAGATCATCTCTGGAATGTTAAAGACACTGAACACGAGTGTGGGGGAAAATACGGCCCAGCAAACGATCTGCTTAATTATGACCCTGGAACACAAAAGCAGTCTTAAGTCGCTGGGGTATATTTGTAGCAATAGCCAAAAATACATTGTATGGACCAAAATTATAGATTTTTCTTTTATGCCAAAAATCATTAGGATATTAAGTAAAGATCATGTTCCATGAAGATATTTTGTAAATTTCCTACCGTAAATATATCAAAACTTAATTTTTGATTAGTAATATGCATTGCTAAGAACTTCATTTGGACAACTTTAAAGGTGATTTTCTCAATATTTAGATTTTTTTGCACCCTCAGATTCCAGATTTTCAAATAGTTTTATCTCGACCAAATATTGTCCGATCCTAACAAAGCATACATCAATGGAAAGCTTATTTATTCAGCTTTCAGATGATCTATAAATCTCAATTTCAAAAAATTGACCCTTATGACTGGTTTTGTGGTCCAGGGTCACAATTGTGTCTCTTGCATCATAAAAGGCAACGGCGTCTACCTCAAAATCCAGGTAGTGCTCTTTCAAGCGGTACTCATCGACCTCTTTGGCTTTGACCTTCTTATCCGGCGGGTAGGATCTGTGCTCGGCTAATTCTGTAGAGACGTGCTTCAGCTTGGCCTCGTGGGACTTGAGCTGCTCTTCCTGTAACACATCAGACACATCAGCAGTATTCAAAGGTTTCAGACAGACACAGCACGTGCCATCAGCAGCATTTCACTCCCCTCTTCAGACCCACCTGAGACATGCGGGTGGTGGTCGCCGGCAGCAGCGGACGGCTGAATTTCTTCTGAGAGCCGATGGCGGCGGGGAAGGATGGGGCGGAAAACATGGCCGCCACCGAGTTGATTATTCTGATCCAGGACTCCATTTCCTCAGGGCTCCTACAGAGAAGAGATTGCATGTGTTCATATGACAGGGTTTCTGCAGACATGAACAAGTTAAATTTAAGACTTTTTAAGACCTTTTTAATACCACCTTATATGAAATTTAAGACCTAAACCTGTAATGGAAATACAAATTTTATTACATACATATATGTAATATTTAATGTGTATAAATTAAAAAGAAAACAAAATATCAATGCTGTAATAAATGGTATTTATTACTACGATATACAGTGAACTTTTAATGTCAGCAGACAATATTCCATACAAAATATCCCTGCAAAATAACTGCATCACTGAGATTTTTAGTAAACAATTTATTCTGAAACAATATTTTCATCAGTGTTCTATCAGCTTTTACATACTTAAATCTGCATATTTACCTTTACAAAGGCCTATGTTTAACCTTTTTAGATGTATGCATCATCTTACATGTCAAATTATTACAATTTATCAATAAATTCAATATACACTATAGGGCTGCTACCAGTCAGATTAAATAATTTACACTGCAAATAACAATAATTACAACTGCAATAAATAATGTTATGAGAGTAATGTTTTAAATGCATTTATGAATATACAAATAAATGTTGAGGGGAAAAATGCATACTTT